TCTCCACGTTATACTTACCATCTCTCGGCTTGTACTGCACGTTTTCTTGCATTCTACACCGGTGTCTTATTTTATTTCTCTGCAAATACGCAGCAAATTCTTGTATCGAACGTAACCCAAAATCGATGTTACCATGTAGAAGTAGATATGTCTTCGATAAAATAACATTCTCATAATATCTTTTCCATTAATTACAGTGTACTTTCGAATTTGTCATAGACAGAGATTAGGAAATTCTAAAGGCACTATAAAACTGTGCAACTCGAAAATCTTGCGTTTATCAGTACCATTATGATAGAAAAACGATAGCTTTGCGTCTAAAATGGAAATATTATACGTAAAATTCCGCGATATTGTTCTAACAAAGGACACGTCCTTACATTTATTTTTAATCAAGTGTGTATCGCGATCAAAGGTGTATTACATATGTATTTTATTTCGAACATTCGTTTGTACCAGCAGGAACTCATTTCAGAGTATAAGAATACTTTTTCACGATAGAACAGTGCTTTCACAGCAGGCAAACAATATTTCAAGCTCCTTTTCAAAGTACTCTTTATGCCAGAAAGTGTTACGCTTCACGAGAACGGCACACAAAGGAGGTTTTAGTTTCATAAAAAAATTGAAGAGACGACTTCTCGAACCTTGTCCATCTTCGTCCATTCTCCATTGTAAAGGTCACAGTATTCGTTTTTATATTTTTTTGTTCATCTCTCGTTGGATTTACATGTCTTGCTTCTCCCTTCCTCCCCCTTCCTTCTCCCTTCTCCCTTCTCCCTTCTCCTCTTATCCCCGTTGCCTACCCTGTGGCAAACCTGCAAATCTCTTATACCGAATTCCTAGTTTGCCGCCATATACTATATCCACACTTTCTGTATCTTCTTTCCTCGACGTTTACATTTGCATTTGTGCTTCTCTTTCCGCAGGCTTTGGAGAGCTCCTGCAAGCCTCGATGCTCGTCCTTTTTCCTTTTTCCCTTTTCCCTTTTTCCACCCTTTCTCTCTGACTCTTCTTCCCCTTTCCGTCCTCTCCCCGCGAACCCTGGTTTCATCTCGCGAATATAAAAAGGGCTGAGCACACGAGTGTTTAGTAACTTTGTCAGCGTTTTTAATCCCGCCCCTTATCCTACCTCTGCTTTCGCTTGTCCCGCACGCTCTCTTTGTCTCGCTATTTCTCTCGTACTTTGAATAAGCGTATGAGCGTACACTTACGCGTTTGCTTTTTTGTTTTTATCCTTCTCCTTTTTTCCATTTCCTTCTTTTTTTTTTTTAGTTCGTTTCTGGCTTCGACGCATCCCTGCTCTATGTACTTTGTACCAAACCGATCGTTGTACCAATTACGAGTGCTCGCGCTCAACCCGCGCCGGATTTAGTAGCTTCATCAATGAAATTGATTCGTTTGGTCCCGGTTCCCGGTGTCGGCACACAAGCTACATGTCATGCCGGTAACTCAAACGGTAGTTATCAAGCATATGTTCAAACGATTTACACGTAACCCCGTTTTGCTCTTTTCTACTCTTTCGTATACCAAAAAGTGTCTGGATTTTGCACAGTGAACAATGGACTAGTGCTCTTTGCGATAATTTCCATCATGCGAAAGTTAATTTCGTCGTTTTTACGTATTAAATGATTTAAACATATCATTTACAGAAGTGGATATTTCTAGAACAAAGAACAAACGCGAAGGATAAATGTTCAGCGTTTAATAGATAGAGGAACGATTGATCTAAAGATACGTAAACTCAAAAGTAGTTCATAATCTAATACTAAAACGGATCAGTAATGTCAGAAATACGATACACTTCACCGATCGATATGCAATATCGTTGAACGATAATCGCTTTAATCGGACTTTCGAAATTTCATTCCGCTATGCATATATTATCGTTACGCCGTTTCACGTTATCAGGAAATCTCTCTAAATATATCAAGGCAAACAAAATAAAACGAACGCTTTGATATTAAATCTTGTGTAACCTATTCCATATACTCGCGCCCTGCTGCGCGTTTCCCATGGCCACTAGCCTATTTTTCTCATTTAGCTAGTGACCCGAAACTATTAACAAAATAAGAACCCCGCCCATTGACACAGAAACGCCCGAAAACGTTCAGGCGCGTGCCAACAACCCCTATACTAACCGAACGTGTTCGGAGCTGCGTGCAAACGCCTATCCAAATGATACTATTTTTAGGGGATATTTATTGCTTGTACATTATTGCTTGTAAAACTACCTACTTTATTTCTTTTTTTAACTCTTAATTAAACTAGAGAACGAAATTTCTTTCCATGTCGTGTCACGAAGCGTAATAATTAAATTTAACGAGAGTTTATATGTCGATGAACACCACTGTCTAATACGAACAAAGTACGCAATGCTGTGGTCAGCATTCTGCCGCATTCTTTGGAACAATTCTCGAAATACCTTTGCTTCGGTATAAAAATAAAGATTCAATAAAGTACATACGATTATGTAAGGTTACCAAAACGAGATTACGCTTTTCTAACATTTCGAACCGCACGTTTTTTCTGTGAACAGGCGTAATTATTGTTATTTAAAGTTTCAGTACACCGTGAATGAATGATAATGTTGACCATGCACGGTTCGCTTCCAACTGTTGTAGAAACAAATATACAGCATTGATTTGCTGTGTATTTCGCTGTTCGCGATTCGAACGTACGTGCCACGAGGTTTACAACATTTCGAGGTATTTTTCATTCGAGTTTGCATAAAAACAGAAACACTTCGTTTGTCGGTCACACTACTGTATTATATCTTTACATTGCATCAACGATGGTCCTATTTCTATGGTAAAACAAATAAGCATGCGTTTACCGTAGAATTACCGTCGAGAGAAGCGGCATTAACACCGGGACGAGACAAATAATCATGTAAACTCGATTTTCAATTTGAGAAATCAACTGCGATAAGGCAGCGGTGAAAATTGACCGCGAAGATGAAATCGCAGTCAAAGATTATCTCCGGTCTAAATTGAAATGCGACGAGTCATCTCGGTTTTCAATTATCGCGTCTTCATTCACGACCACAAACACGTTGCTCTAATACGATCAAATTATCCGAGCGTAAGGATAATAAAAAAAAAAGAGGTAAAAGGAAGAAAAGTTGGTTTCGCATCATCCCCCCTTGGAGAGTTTCCAACGTATCGGAAAGTCTAGCGTTCGCCGGTACACTGGCGCAAGCAGCGCGCGTTAGCGCTTCGACGACGACCGATGGGAGTGAACGGGATAGGGATGGGGGGCCGCAGAATAAACTTAGACATGTTTGCCGAGCAATCAAATATATGAGTGGAAAGTCTCGCAGGCGTTATCGATTGGTTCGAACCCGGCTGTGGTGGCACACAGGCGAAGAGGGGAAAGAGAAGAGAGAACAGTGGAACGGATGGGTCTAGGAAAGGGTCGCGAAGGGGTCGACGAAGGGTTCGAGACGAAATGGGAACGGGGAGAGAGATCCACGAAACCAGTCTACATCGTCGTCGTCGGCGAAGGGCCGAGCGGTTTGTCCAGTGTTTGTTGTTCGCCGTTGTTCGAGGGGGCAAACATAGTTTTCGAGCCGGCGAGAAGGAGCCGCTTCGTCGAACATAGATACACGTACAAATACACGTACAAACACATGCATCGCATAGACACATGTGTATATAAGTACGCTATACATATATACGTGTTCTTAACGACATACGTACGCACGTGAACAAGTATACGTGTGTACACGAAGAAAGAAATAGAGAAAATACATATGCGCCAGCCTTTATACGTATAGGAACGCGGACTTTCGAGAAATTCGACTCTTTTATTTCCGCGCGACCTTCCTACCCGTCTGCTTCAAAGCGGTGGAGAAAAATCTCAAGAGCGCATCGTCTTCGAGAGCCTCGTCGGAGATTTCGCTTGCACAAGAAGGAATAGCGGGATGGGCCAGAACAAGCTCGCAAGCTCGGACAAATTCTTGCGATGTCGGTGAACGGTAGGGGTTGAGTCGCGAGAAAATCTTATCCACCTACCTACACTTTGGATCGCTCTTATCTCCGATTTCGGACATTCTTCGCCGTTCTTGTCAGAATTCCCATTCCGTAAAACACACCGAATTTGGTAGAAACGGTTAAATAGCAAAGGATTTTATTATACATATATCCGATAAAAAATATCCTCAGCAGTGCAAATCGTTTCATTCGTCATCAAAACGATCATCCTAGTTTGTCTTCGGCAAATACAATTTTTTTAATTAGCAAATACGAGCCGAAATCTGAAACTCGAAATAGCTGGGAATATCGAATATATTCCTTTATGAGAGAAAATTTTAGCTATATAATATAACACGACCAAAGGATATGATAGCGGTTATAGAAGTAAACTAATTAAATAGTATACCACCTATTTACTTTTTTAAAAATCGTTGCCCACGGGCGTGACAAAGTATTCTAGATTATTTTGCGAACGATCGTAGATAGAAGTAATTTTTCAGGATCGTTTGCTCACTGTGATACGCACCGTTATTGCTCGAAACCAGGAGTGGTGTCCTGGATAACGGAGCGTTTCTCCGTTCGTGGTAAACATCTTTTATTAAGTGCACGTTGCGCTCCGCTGGCGCGTCAATTTTTCAAAGCACCCTCGAGTTCTTTGTCTTCGCGTCTCCATCTAACTATAAACGATAAGCACGCGTAGCAGGGAGTAGGGGCGATTAATCGTTCCATCATCGTTAGAGATGGTCTCGACTCTGTGACAATGGTGAAAACGAAACTTCTTTCGCCCACCCTTCGCGTATTCTCTTTCCAGATAAAACGATTTTCGTCCTTTTTTTCTTTTTTTACCAGTGTCGAATGTACCGCGCGTATATTTTCAAGTTTCGTTCGTAAATACAAACAAACCACAGACAGATCAGTATCGCTCGGATAATCGAAAATCTTTGTCGTCAATAACGCTAATTATTTAATTGTTTGTTTCGCACAAGCACATATCGAATATTAACGAAATTTCTCTTTCTATTTCAGGCTGTGCATTCGTGAAACTTTCATCACATCAAGAAGCGCTAGCGGCGATCAATACCTTACACGGTAGCCAAACTATGCCGGTGAGTGGAAGCTATTGTTTTTCTAAACACATCGGAAATTGGTGTAAAACGCTTTGAAATTTTTATGAAATCAATGGAAACGTAGTTCTATTGTACAGCAACGAAACAGTTTTCTTCAAATTAATGAAAAACCATATGTGAAATAATAGCAGCGATATCGCTGCTGTGGTTTTCTTAAACAACGTACGAATTGATTCCTAACGGATACAGTAAAGTAATAATGTACAGAAAAGTATCTATAAACTTTAAGGAGGTATCCAAGATTTTATCATGTTCATGTCAAATTGAATAATTATATACGCTAAATATACATAGACAAACATCGATGACACTAGGAAAATTGCGTAAACATAAGTAAACGAAAGTAGAAAGCAAATGAATACGCGCATGGCGATAAACGGAGTCGAAAGTAATAGAAACGACGAGTGCGTATCACGGATTCATGGATGACCGTTCTATGGAACAGGTAAATTGTATAGGGTGGACAACCCTCGTAATGACTGTCATGCATGCAAACATACCGTGGTTCCAATCTAATGACTGGCCAAACTGAAATCTGCATAACACTTGGAGAAGTATGGGCTATCTCCTTCTCCGTCGCTGAATCTCCTATGGCTTCTATCAAACCGCCAAACTTTCTCAGCTTAGGGTCGGACCAGGAATTCCCAGTTGTAATTGAATTGTCAGTGAGTTTCGTTCGGGATTCCACCTGCTGATTGGTGAAAGTTCGCAAAGCCGCTTGCCGAACTTGACCATACAACATTCCTCTTCCAATATCGCCGTTATTATCGTACTGCAGTTATTTGCTCATATTTATTGGCATGTCGAAGTTTAGCGTTGGACTCGTTCATTAGGATTACGCTTAATAGAACCGGTCGACGATTAATGATGAAACGTCGAAAGATACTACTGGATGATGAGAAGCGCATAACGTGTCTGATGACAGAACTGGATATTCTATTTCGTACTACTGTAGAGACGCGGCATGTATCTTCGTATCCTACGATTAAAAATCATTTTTGACAGTGTATACTATTAGCTACGTTTTAATCAAAATATTGATTTATTCGCATGATTCTTTACTCAAAACTTTGCTGAAAACCCTCGGAAACAGCCGGTGTATGATGGATTACTTGTCGACGGACACTCCAAGTTTGCACTTTTAAAATTTCGTTGCTAAAATTGAGAGCGATATCAACCGTGTATTTGTTAGATATGCTATATTATATAGAAATTTAAAAAAAACAAAATGTCCTCTATTTTCCGTATTTTTCTTCACCTCATTGACTCAGCTTTATCTCGTGTAAATGAAACACGAACAGAACATTTCCGATCACATAAAATCGTAGAGAAACTTCGTAACTGTGAACTATACACACGGTGCAATTCGTGTTACTATGGACGTACAAAGAAACGAATGCAACGAAGTAGGAGAACCGTTGAAAGTCCATATACACCCGATATTTTCCGATGTATCCGGCAATTGTTTCGCCGTCCATCAGTCCGACGGCGGGTGAAGAAAAAAAGGACAGTGCCGTATTTTCCAATATCAATTAGAAATTCGCGTTCCGTGTCACGCGTGTGCCTCGTGTATGAAATCACGAATTGCATCGTAGCCGAAGGGCGCGGCGGGGACAGATGCGAGGCTGTTACGTGAATATTACTCGTTACAACGCTCTAATCTAATAGCGAAACACGAGGAGAAATTGTGGGTACAGAAGGGGAACTTTAGGATCGTGCCAGGGACTATTTGCCCTTAAAAGAGAAACTGACATGGCGCGGAACGTAATATGCAGATCGCTTAATTATCACTGCGAATTATGCAAATCTTGATACCAACGTTACGAGATTTCATCGCGTCCCATCGAGTGGCTCGGGAGTGTCAAAACGTAGGATGGAACGAGACACGCAGTTTGCCGTTTCATTAGGACGATTCTAGATTTATTAGCCTCGTAGAAACGCTCATAATCGACGGAACGGCGCGGTACCCTCGTTAAACCTACTAAATTGAAGTTATATTAAAATTTTATCGTCCATCCATTTTTCGTATAAACCGTTGTAGAACACATTTTTCTTTTATCTTTGTCATCTAAATCCTTGCGAGAGATTGTCACTTTACTTAATACTCTGCTTCCTAAACCGAAACGTAGTACGAATATTGTCTCTGAAAACTTTGGGATTCGATATTCACGCAATTTATCAAAGAAGATATTATAAAATGAACTCTCTCGGTAAATAATTATTTTAACGGAATCGTTCTACAAGGATATTTCACATAATAGACAGCGAACGATATTTTAACGTTGTAAGGATGATTCAATTCGACTGCGTTCGATATAGTTTCTCGTGACACGTTGTAATCCTCAGTTTCCCGTTCTATTTCATGTACGTACGTGTCTACTCGTATGCGGATGTGATTCTTTCATACGCTGACACGCACAATCGTCAAATTGAGATAGAAATTTATATCTTATCCTAAGTAGTTAGCAGCGATAGCAAAGGGAATTTTCACAAGCGTAGAGATATAACAAACAGTGGAAAACCGATACATCGAAATATTATACACATTCGATCAACTAAATATCTCGCTTATTTGGTATTTAAGCGAAACGTTCAACAGACAATCGCTCGCATAAGGAGTGAGCGATTAAGTGGCACGATGATACAGTATATCCTTGGAATGCTTCAGGATACAAGCTAACTGGTCATAGGACGAAAACGTTCAGACCTTAGAGGAAGGTTCTTATGATGATTAAGGCCTGTTAAACCGAGGGATGCGCGAATAGCGTTGGGGCCTCGCAGATATTGGAGATCTCAGGCCGGAACATTCCAAGGACTCTCTATATCGAAAGAGAACGAGCCAAGGGCAGACACAGAAGACTTAGGAGAGGAAAATCTCGAACTTTGTCCTTGTTAAACGAGAATATTCTCGGTATAACCATGAGTCGGGTACGCTACTTGTGTACGGTTAGAATTATGTACCTTCCTCGAAATATCCTGCCTTAAATTTTCTTTATTGGAAGATAAAACAATATTAAATGTAGATGATAATTTTGTACTCCTAATTTTATACTTTATTCCGTTCTTCGAACTAACCCCGTGACTTGTAATGCCTTGAATTTTTTAAGCTAAATACATGTAACGATGTCTGATGTGACTCGATCTACGCACACGATTCTGTACATCTTTCCACACAATTTTGGCTCCGTATCTTTATATCCTATACAAAATTTATTATCGTTACTTCAACGAAATTGCTGCTCTCGTAGTAAAACTTGGCGCAGTAAAACGCGTATTGACAGAAATGTTCGATATTTCTACCGTCGGTGAAGAATCGATGACGTAATGTATAGAAAATTCACTCGTATTATATGTTTAAACGTAAAACTCTTGCCAGAGATTTTGTGGGCTGGATGTAAACAAAGATAGAAAGAAATGGCTTTCGTAACATCGATACTATAGTATCTTTCGTAATAATAATAATTTTGGATTCGGATTATATCGTGTTATCAAAAGCATGTAGTACATAAATTGAAGATCACGGTAATACAGCTTTTATGCTATTCTTCTATGAAGGAGATATCGTCGATTTTTCGCTTATGTGTTTTAAAACTACATGCACAAAAGGATAAATAAGTTTTATATGAGGTAAAAGTAGAAAATAATAAAACACGTTTCGATCAATTTATTATTTTTACTCAAAAAGTAACTTAATTATTTAGATTTTAATATTAATTTAAAGAAATAGAATATTCTTGGATGTATTCGTATATCAAGAATTGTAAAGTCTATTGTACCGGGGATCACGCGATAATACTTCTTTTCGTCGAGTAACTTTGCGCGACTATTGCGGTTAATATTTCGCAGTGTCAATACTGCAGTTTTTCTTCCAGCGAAAAAAAACTGCTACTTTATACGGCCGAAGTTCTGTAAACATTTTTCACTTCGGATTCAGTAACCGTGTAATATGATTTACGTTGCTCGAATAGACGACGGATTCGTGCAGTAACTTTACGGAGCAATATTTTTACGGTTTTCGCAATCCGTTTTTCTCAGTGAAAGCGTTGTAAGTTTCTATCAATCGGTCGGCATAAAAATATCATATTTTTAACTCTATCACGCGATCGCTGTTCGATTGGTAAACTATGAATTTCAACTTTTTTTTCTTTCAATATAGCTAACTGTTTCTGAAGCAAAATTTTCCTCTAACATATCCGAATATAACTTTCTAAAGTACAGAAAAACTTTTGACATACCGTTGAAATGCCAAAGAAAGTCTGGCATCGTTCAAATATGTAAGAGGTACATATTTAGAAGTTTGCATAATATGGATGTAAAAAGAAGCAATTTGAAAGCAATGCTTGGAAAATCAATCGTTTTCCTGTCAAAAAGGGCTGAATTTACATCTATATTGTGGAGGAACAATATTTCTCTGGGGGGTTCTCTGTTGGTATCGGGGATGGGTCAATTTCGAAATCATAGCATGGATATCAACTGATCGATCATTAAACCAGGGTTATTACCGTGAAAAATTACTAGCCATGTCGCACAAATTCCCCGATCATTTTTTTTCTGGAAGCTCATCGAGCCGTATAATGCGGTTTGCTCTACTCGAATTGACAGGGTGTTCACGCGTCACGCGGCGGGCAATATTTCTCCTGGGGCTCAATATTTCTGTGAGGTTCGCGGTCCGTCTCTCGCGGTTCGTGTCACCGGTGGAATGCGAGCAAGCGCTGGCCTCACGCGTAGTTATATCTTCTGAAGCGTGTGACATTTCTTGTCACGCCTCACGACACGCTCGCGAACCCTCCCCGCGGTATGCTCTCCGTTCACCCACTCATGGTTCTGCAAACTCCTGAAATGCCTCGTAATAAAAGCAAACGTACGGGAGAAGTGTTTTGCTACGGTGCTGGCTAAAACGTGCCAGAACGTAACACAGTCGTTTTCAGTGTAGGAATTTTACGTAACGTTGCTCCGTTTTTATTTTCCTCGCCAACCCT